GCCAGCTCACCACAAGGTAAGTGTGGAACACACCTACACCCATCCTTCCTGAGAAAATACTTTCTCTAGAGACATGTCTAATGGGCCAGTTCTCCCAGGAGCTGAACTCTGAGACTGCTGTGGACACGGTTGTGTAATGCTGTGTGAGAGATGCAATGTGACCAGACACAAAGTTCCCTGCAGGGAGAAGGCTGGGCAGCAGGGGCCGCTCAGGACCCATGGACCACATGGTCCATCTGGGAGAAGGTGCAAAGGAGCCTAGGGAGGAAGTTCTGAAATCAGCCTGGTGTTTCCTTTTCCTGCACATGTAATGTTTCCTCACAGACCTCACAATTCTGTAATCATGGATGTGTGTTTGTGTGTGAGTGTGTGAGTGTATAAGTGTGTGAGTATGTGTTATTCTGTGTATGATGTCATGCATGCTAATGTCTGTGTTCCTTTCATTGTTATAATGGCAGTGTGTTTTAGTTTGTGCGTTCCTAGGTATGTTAATCTGTGTTTTAATGTATATGTCTATTTCTGTATCTGGGTGGATGTTCCTTATATGTATATTTGTTAGTGTATGTGTGCTGGTGTGTGGGCATTTGTGCACGTGATTGTGTGTGTTAGTTTGTATTAGTGTGTTTAATATGCATGTTTAACTGAGTGTATGTGTGTGTTAATGAGAAAATGTTATGTGAGTCTGTGTTTTAGTGTGTGTTTGCATTAGCCTGTGTTACTATACACATGGGAGCAAGTATGCATTAGGGTGTGTATGTGTGAGTATGAGTGTATCATATCCCATTTCTTAAAATATCACTTAAGAGCCTTAGCACTTCTTCATAATTTTCTAAACAATTTTTTTCATATGTTGCCCTCATCTGCCTGAAAACTCTGATTTCATGATTTATGACATACCCTCCACGTTGTCTTCAAGCCTTCACTGATGCTTCCATCATCTATAGTGCACTAATGTGCACGATATATGCAATTAAACTTAGCTATGTGTGCACATCTGTGTGCACCACACAGTTCAAAACACATAGCTTCTAATCAGTGTGTGACCACTCCTCACAACCTCTTCCCAGGATGATTCCAGGAGAAAGCAGGCAGGTCCTAGGTGTGATAATAATGTTGACCAAGTTCAGGATGGATGGACCTCACTCCATCAAGGTAAATACAGGGCACAGGCTGTACTTGGATGATGTGTGTGCTACCACCTGATATAGCTGGTGACCAGGTGAAGTGAGGGACTCGCCCTGTTATATTGCTTAATATTTGTGAGGAAAACAGAATTTAAACAGGGTTAGAAATATTAACTAAACCGTAATTTTATTGTAGATGCTGGGTGCTAGCAGTGTTTGAGGTGATATTAAGCCCCACCATTACAGCTATTTCCATGGAATCCAGGTCACCACTCAAAAGTGTGAACTTCCAGGTTGCCTCAGTAAGTGTTTTGGTTAATATGTGCTGCTCTAACAGAAATGCCACCGGTGGGTTGGCTTTACCAAACAAGAGTTTATTCTCTTATAATTTTGGAGGCTAGAAGTCTAAGTTCAAAGTGCCAGGCTCTAGGGTCTGGGTGAAAGGCCTCCAACCTTGGGCTTCAGCTCTGTCTCTTGCTACTGGCCCATGAAGGTGGAGGGTTTTCTTCACTCAAGAAGCTTCTGGCTGCTGAGGCTGACAAGCCCAAGATTGACAAGGAAATAGGTACAGTCCCAATATTACCAAACAATACAGCAGGCCACTATCTCAAGTCCAGAAATGGTCCCAAGGCTGGCAGGGCATGACAGTCTGCTGAACAACAACTTGCCTACATACAGGGTTCAAGCGTGCCGTAAAGCTAGACACCTTCCTCAATGCTGCTTCTTATACACTGGAAGCAGACCACATCCCTAAAGCAGCTACTCAGCTGCACCAGTAGATTCCACCATGGAATTGGTTGCCAATCTCACCATGGGGAATGACTATATCCAGCTGTCCAGCCACTCAACAAGGCCCAGCCAAGGTGACACACAATTGTAGCTATCATAGTAAGTAAATGAAGTATTATTTTTGCAGAAGAGTTGAATGTGGTATTTTTATGATATCTATGTCAGCTACATTTTTTCAGACAGAGCATGATTTGTGCAAATAACCTTTCTCTGGTTCTGAGTAACTGAGTCAAGGAGGAAGAAACTCCGTTGGAGATGAGTGTTTCAAAGAAGAGTGAGGACAAAGTCACAGCTGTTGCCTAAACTCAGAATCCCCTGGTCTATGTGTCCAGGAGTATCATTCCAACCTCTTCTCCTTATATCAGAAGAGAGACCATGTTCAATAAAACAATTAGCACCTCTAATTCATGTCTGGAAATGGCAACCCTCAACAACAGAGCTAATGTGTAAACCACAGGTCTTCAAATGAGTGCATGACTATGGACTCACAAAAGCACTATGAGGTAGGCAAAAGTCTCACTGTACAGACAAGTTTTCAAAATTATTAAGTGCCACAAAATCATAGTGTTTGACTGGGTCACCAAAGAGGTGCATATACAGTATTGAGTGGTTCTAAAATGTCTTATTTCTGCACATTAATTTGTGTATTAATGAGGAAAATGGCGACTTGAGTACAAGCATGGGACCAGTTCTAGAGCAGATGTGGGGAAGTTGTAAGAGAGGACTTTCTGTCAGCAAACTGCTCCCTTGTGAGCTCTCCAGTTCATTTCTCCAACACCTTCTGGTTCACGTGATGAGGAGGTGGAAGGCAAGAAAACAGTTAACTGTCTCTCACCATGTCTAGTGGGCACAGCCGCAAGGTGATTTATACATGGACTACTCTTACTGATGGACAGGTTTGAGCACAGACACTCTCAGGAGCTCACACAAGGAGTGGGACAGCTTGGTGCTGGATTGTTTACACGGTAAATTTAAATTATCTGTGGGTTGGCTCTCTCTCTTCTAATTTCTCTCTAAATTCCTCCTGACTCTTCTTATCACAGAGATGTTAAGAGCTTTTGGGAATAACTCTCCCATAGAACACAACTCTCTGCTTCTTTAAGGGGGATATTACACACCTCTCTGTTGATAGCGAGTCACACTGTTCTAGAACAGTGATCACAAGTGTAAATGCTCCTGAACAAGTGTGCATGGAGAGCGTGTCATATGTGTCAGCCTGAGCCTCACAGCCTTCACTGCATCCTGTAATTCCAAAAATATCATGTCCTGAGACACTGGACCTTAAATGGTCATATTGACCCTCAGGGATAAGTGTCCAGGGAAGCTCACACCGATGGCTCACTGCTCATCCATCAGATATTTACTCCTCTACTGCACCCTGACACCTGGGCCCACTATATAGGCTGAGGGTGTGTTTAAAGGGAATGCAAATCTCCATCATCCCCACCCTCTCCTGCTTCGAAAAGCTGAGCCCTAGCCTTGCATCAGTGACTCCTGCACTCCACCATGGACAGGCTTGGTTCCACTCTCCTGCTGCTGACGCTCCCTTCCTGTGAGTGCTCTGGTCAGGGAATCACTCTGGTCAGGGAATCCCACTGGGATGAAAACGCTCCTGTCATTCTTCTGAATCGCCATCATCTTCCTCTTGTGCTTTCTCCACAAGGGCTCTGTCCCAGGTCACCCTGAAGGAGTCCGGCCCTGGGCTGCTGAAACCCACCCAGACCCTGTCGCTGACCTGCACCTTCTCTGGGTTCTCACTGAGCACTACTAACTTAGATATCGACTGGATCTGTCATCCTCCAGGGAAGGCCCTGGAGTGGCTCAAAAGCATATGGTGGGATGTTGATAAGCATTACAACCCATCTCTGAAGAGCCGGCTCACAGTCTCCAAAGACACCTCCATAAACCATATGCTTTTAACAATGACCAATATGGACCCTGCAGACACAGCTATGTATTACTGTGCATGATTGCACAGAAGCATAGCCCAGGGGACCTTCTGTACAAGAACCCGGGCTGATTCTCAGCTGTGCTCCCATCTCTGCAGAACAGGAGACTGTGGTGGAGGAGGCATTTCCTGACAGGCCCCAAGGTTTCTGCTCCTCCCTCAGAAGTCTCGGAGCCCTGACTACCTTTATTTCCTCCACTGAGAAGACTCATGTCCTATTAATGGTGAATACAGGTGCTACAGTGTATTCGTTTTTTCACAAAGTCTCAGAGACATAAGCTTTAGTTCCATATGCTGGATGTATCACCTACGACATGCAGCCAGGTGATTCAACGTGGAAGAATATAGATCATAACTGTATATGACTTTATTA